GCAGAGCGCTGCGCCCGAAGCACGCGGGGCCGCGGCGGCACTACTGCACGGGGCCGCCCCTGCGCGCAGCCTGCGCGCTGTGCCCCATTGTCCCGCGCGGGCTGTCCCTGGTGGGGCGATGGACGCGAGGACCCCCGTGCTCCCTCCGGGTCGTGTTCCGAGGAGCGTTGCACGCTGATAAACTCTGTACGTCTTTGATTTACACCGCGATGTGGAGTTGCGCCTTCTTTTAATCCCCCTTCCCGAGGTGCCCCGAAGCCCCGCGCTCGCAGGGATGGGGCGATCCGCGGCACGCGGTGCAATAATGAGCGTTAATTCTCTACCCAAGCAGAACTTGAGCAATAATAATAAGCACATCAGAACCGTTTGTTTACTGCGGCGGGCTGCGGGGCCGGGACCGCTGCGGGAAACGGTGTAACCCGAAGGAAATCTTCTAGAACGGGGGGATATAGCAATGGAAAGGCGGCTCCGACTTGGAGGGAGCTCGGCGAGCGCTTGGCTGGGACGTGCGCCCGTGCGCAAGGTACGTGGTCTGCAGGACTTCGGTTTTATTTCCCCGCACGTTTATTTCATAGCATAATAGAATTTTCCCCCGTCTGACATCCTCCTTTCGCCCCAGGACCGCGCTCAGCCCCGCTGCGGCGACGCGGATTTGTGCCGCCTTCACCTCGTTCTTTGCCGTCCCGACTGAGCTCGAGAGCCCCGTATCCTCCAAAAAAACCCGCGTGGTCGGAACCGAAAGGCCTCTTAGTGCTGCGCTCCGGGACCCGCCGGGCGGGGCGGCGCGGGAGCGGTGCGCGGGGCTGAGCCCGGCGTGCGGGGTCCGGGGCCGCTGCAGGACCGCTGCGGGACTGAGGAGCGTCCCGAGGACGGGGCCGCGGTTTTCGCCCCGTGCTTTAATCCAAAAAAAGCGCTTCGCTTCAAAAAAGAAACGCAGCCGTAAATCAGCTCTTTGCGCTTCGTGGCTGAGCGTTATCTCCGTGTTTTGTTTGTTTTGTTTTGTTTTGTTTCTTCCCGAAGACTCCTAATGGTATTAATTTGGCCAAAAAACTTGAGCCCGGGCTGTCTGGAATGATCTCCCTTCTCCCTCCTCCCTAACATTTCCATAATAACCGCGACTCGGGACCCCGCTCGGGCCGTGTGCCTCCCGCGCCCCGCGCAGCCCCGACGCGGGCTGCATTCCCCGGGGGTGATGGGATGCAATCCGCCGAGAGCCGACAGGCACGTCCTGGATGTTAGGGACGCACTGCTCCTCAACGTGACAAGGCTGAGTTCGATCTACAATTGTATTTGAAAGGGCAATGAGCGGAAAGATCTCCCGTCATTAAAGCCTCCCTCTCCGCTCGCGCAATAACGAGACCCTTCATTTGCACACAAACGCCCGGGAAAAGAGCCGTAAAGTCCCGCACCGGCCCGACCGCGCCGCGGAGCGCCCGCGGGGAGTGGGCGGCGGTGCGGAGGTCCCAACGCGCGCATGTGACCGCGGTGACTTTTTACTTTAAATCTTGAATAAGACGTGAGTTGTAACAAGGGGATTTGCACTTACTCCGTGACCCCTGTAATTGGATTAAATATAGACCGAGACGTACAAAAACAGAGCGAGATTGACACCTGCCAACTGGACTTCCTTATGATTGATCGTGATGCTTCGTGCCGGCAACAATAATGAAATAAATTGTATGGATAAAGGCGCGCATTTGTCATTTCCGCGCGGGGCGAGGGGAAGGCAGCGCGAGGCAAGCTGCTCGCTGACAGACGGAGCGGCGCGCCGAGCTGCGGCGCCGTGCGCGAACCCCAGACGTTGACGAGACAAATTATAACTTGTCACAACCTCTTTAAATTCAGAACTTTTCAATTAACATATAGATTGCCGCCGCGCAAAAGTCCGCGCGGAACGGGCGGCGGCCGTCGGGGGCCGAGGGGCTGCGGCTCGCCCGTGCCCCTGCACCGCTGCCGCGGGGATCACCAGCAGCCTCCGCGCCTCTTCCGCCGTGGGGCTCTCCGGGGGCCGCCCCCATTGGCCGCGGGTCCGGGCTCGGGCGGGTGCTGGGTCCCAGGTGCCGCCCCGTGCCCGTCGGGCAGAGCTTCCCCCCGTACGGGGGTGAAGTGTGGGGGTTGGGGCGGGCCGGGCCCCGCCGGGAGCACCATCGTGTCCCAGGCTTGGAGCAGCACCCGGCCTGGCCCCAAACACTGCCCTGAGTTGGCGGTGCCCCGGGGGCATTGCGGGGGGTAATACCTGTGGGGCATTTCCTCCGTCTATATTTCTTTTTTCTTTTCTTTTCTTTTCTTTTCTTTTCTTTTCTTTTCTTTTCTTTTCTTTTCTTTTCTTTTCTTTTCTTTTCTTTTCTTTTCTTTTCTTTTCTTTTCTTTTCTTTTCTTTTCTTTTCTTTTCTTTTCTTTTCTTTTCTTTTCTTTTCTTTTCTTTTCTTTTCTTTTCTTTTCTTTTCTTTTCTTTTCTTTTCTTTTCTTTTCTTTTCTTGTCCTCTCCTCTCCTCTCCTCTCCTCTCCTCTCCTCTCCTCTCCTCTCCTCTCCTCTCCTCTCCTCTCCTCTCCTCTCCTCTCCTCTCCTCTCCTCTCCTCTCCTCTCCTCTCCTCTCCTCTCCTCTCCTCTCCTCTCCTCTCCTCTCCTCTCCTCTCCTCTCCTCTCCTCTCCTCTCCTCTCCTCTCCTCTCCTCTCCTCTCCTCTCCTCTCCCTGCCTCTCCTCCCCCCGCCCCTCTTCTTCCTTTTTATTTATTTATCTACCTATTTGTTTATTTTATTTTATTTCCTTCTTCTTCTAATTCTTCTTCGTATTCTGAGCCGATTTCTGCTGGGCCCACGATGCCAAACGCGGAGCTGCGGCCCCACGGCTGCGGCCGGGCACGGGCTCAGGCAGCTCCGATCCGCAGAACCCCGCGTCCCAACCTGGGGCAAACCCCCTCCTCCGGCTCCGCGACCTTTCCGCGCGCTGTAATTACCGCCGAACTCGTTCCTCTAAATTAAATGCTGCTGTGATTTGAATCCGTGTAAAGCACGAAGCGAGTTCCATCGAATGAGCCGAGCCCGCCCGCTTTCCCCAGTGGCTGCATCCATTAACATTATAATCTCAAACACCATTTTTTATGTAACACCATTGTTAGTAAATCAACTCCTCAGGTCCACAGAGACGCTGACCCCTGGCAATTCAGCGAAAGTGTAATTATCTCCCCGAATCTCGGGCAGATTTAGGAGATTACATCGCAACTAACTCCATATCAATGCTAATGCCCCGGCTCCAGGTGCCGCTCGGCGCGGTGCGGCCCCGCTCCGCGGCACAAAGCGCAGCTCCGCGGCCGGGAGGGACGGGGAGCCCCCAAATTGCACCTATTTGTGCCACAAAACCTGGTCCGCGGATGGCAAAGTGAAACAAAGCGGCCATGCTAAATTAGCGTTAAATAAAGGGCACTTTAATGCTCGGTTACAGTCAACTGGTGTATATTTGATGGCTAATTGTCTATCAAAATTAAAGAGAAAAGAACAAATGATTCGTTATAAGAAGGTGTTAAAAGCTCCGACAAAGGCGCGTTTCACAAATATAATATCTGCGGACGGCGAATTGTCCGTTCGGGGCTCTTTTAACGTAGTGAAGGCCCGGAACTCCCGAGATATGAATAATGGGTACAAACGCGCTCTTTCATTCTCAAAGAACCTCGCTGGGAGCGGAGGCTCCGACACAACCAAAGCCGAGAGTGCGGGCAGAGCCGGGCTGCGGCGGTCCCGACGGCAGCCGATGGAAATGCGCTGAGAGGCACCGGATCGTTCTGGGCTTCGCGATCCGGGAAGGACATCAGAGCCTTGGAGGTGGTGGGACGGGGACAGCGGGTGCGGGGCGTTCTCGTTTGGTGCTTCTCGGATCCACTGGGGCAGGGAACGTCCGGGCTGGGGGCAGGAGGGTGGGCGAAGAGGGGAGGTAAAGACACGGGGAAAAAAAAAAAACAAACAACGGAATAAATAAAAAAATGAATGAATAATAATAAGAAAAGAGTGGAAAGGGAGTGGGGGGGGGGGGGGGCAGAAAAAGAAGAAATAAAGGGAAAAAGGAAAGAAGAATATGGGAAAGAGACAGAAAGAAAAACGGGAAAAAGGAAGAAATGTAAGAAAAGGAAAGGAAAATATGAGAAAAGAAAGAAGAAAATTAGAGAAAGGGAGAAAATGTAGGAAAGGGAAAGAAAAAAGAAGAAAGGAAAAGAAAATTGCAAAAAGAAGGAGAGGAAAAAAGGAAGAAAAGGAAGAAGGAAAAAAGGGGAAAACAGAAATAAAGAAAAAGGGAGAAAAGAAAGAAGAAAGAAAAAAGGAAGGAAGGGAAAAGGGAAAAAGGAAGAAGAGAGAAGGAAAAAGAAAGAAAAAAAAAGAAAGAAAAAGGAAGGAAAAAATAGAAAGAAAAAGAAGGAAAAAAAAAAAAAGAAGGGGAGGAAAGAGGGAAAAATTTGAAAGAAAAAAAAAAAAAAAAAAAAGGAAAAAAAAAAAAAGGAAAAAGAGCCCCAGCGTGGGCTGAAGTTCCCTCAGAGGGGCGGCGGGGAGCGGCCGGGCCGGAGCCCCGCAGAGGCAGCGGGGCGCGGGGCAGCGATGCGGGCGGAGCGGCAAACCGCCCGGAAAATGGACCCGCGGAGAGCGGGAGAACGCTGCTTTATCTCTGACAACTTGTGTCCTAAAGAAACTATCTTGAAGATAATTGAAATGATTACAATTCATTGCTGCATTACTTTGAATGCGAAGAGTCAAATAATGAAATCTTCGTAATACGGCAAAAATTTAATTTACATTACACCACCGCTCGAGGTTTTCCTTTTTTGTTTTTTTCTTTTCTTTTTTTTTCCGAGCCCGGCTCCCCCGACAGCTCACGCACCGCCCCGCGCTCTGCTGCCTGATTCCCATTCTCGGGGCCGTTCCCTTCCGAAGGCTCCAGGTGCGGGGTGAGGGGGAGTGGGGGGGGTCTGGGGCCGCCCCGGGGCTGTCGCACGGCCACCGCCGCTCTCTCAGCCGGGACAGGGGCTGCCCGCCCCCGAGCCCCGGCCCGGACCCCCCCCGACCCCTCCGGCCCTGAAGCAGAGTCCGAAGCGAACCGGGCTGTTCCCTCCCGTGCAACGAACCGCTTCTAAAAAAAAAAAAAAGACCATCTGGTAATTGTCTTCCTTTAGATCTTCCCTTAATTATGCTTTTAATTAAAGATGGTTCAAGGCATTGGACCACATGAAGGGCAGTAATTACAAATTACATTACAAACCCAACAGATGTAGCTCTATCTGCTGGGAAAAAGGTACTGGAATAAAATTTGACTAAACTTTCGGATAAATTAATCCGCTGCCTTGAGAACAGAAGCACATTTTTTATTATGCAGACTCTAGCCAGGATTTAAGTTCTCTGTCATGATTGTTTTCATATTTCTTTGACATCTATTGATTTGGAGGCAGCTGCAAGGCTTTGTCACAAGAGAGAAGAGCAGTCACAATATATTAGCTTGATGGCATAACTCGAATATGAGTAGGAAGGATAGAAACATGACAGGGAGCCACGTGACCGAGCGATGGGTCTCCGACAAAATAAGAAATTAATTTTTAATAAAAAGCTTTAAAAATACTGCAGCCAAGGCAAGGGGAACGGCAGCACTCGTTCGTTACCAACGGCTCCAACGCTCACCCACAGGCGGGGAGGAGACCCAGGCTGCTGGTTGAATGGAGCCATGCAGGCAGAGGATAGGGCCAGCCCACCTTGGGCTCTGGCCCCATGGCCAAGCTCATCCACAGCAGCGCTGAGCCCACCCCCAGCTCATGGCTCTGCCAAAAGTCTTGCAGTAAGCGGGTAATGGGAGCCCAGAGAGTTTGAGCAGGTTTGGGCAAGGCGGCAGGATTTTTCCCCTCTGGGAAAGGCTGACTCTTCAAGGCAGTCTTTGGGGTCAGCCTGCAGAGTGAGGATTCACTGGTCAGGTGTTCCATCGCATCATGGGGAGAAACGAAGCTGGGATGCCCCTCTCCTTGCCCCATGTGAGCATACAGACGTGGACACGCAGACAGACAGACACACAAGCATACAGGCACGCAGACACACGGACAAGGCACCATGCTGTCCCCAGGAGAGCCCCTCAGGCCCTGGCCCAGCTGCTCCCAGCCCCGCAGCACGCACACCCCGCGCACCGCCTCAGCCACACGTTCACACTTTCACACGTGCCCTGCTCATAGTGTCACATCTTTTTCGGTTGGATGTGTGCTAAGCGCTCTGCGGGCCCAATCCACCCTCTCACTGAAACCTCTGCGTGCCGGAGTGGCACAGGGCTGCTCTGTGCAGGGACAAAGTTGGGCACCTCACCTCAACCCAGTGAGGCCGCAATGCATGGCTGGGCAGTGCCAGCAGGTGTTGTTATGTGCCCCCAACAAGGGAGAGCTCGCAGCATCTCGGCCTTCATTTGGTTACAAAATGAACAGCCCCAATTTTTTCCGCCTCGGTTTTTTCCTTTATCAGACCTGCGTTTTGCCAGCATTTCCTGCTTTATAAAAGTGAGCTCAGTGTCAAAAGTTTCAGGAGCTTTAAAGAAAGATTGTCTCCATGACACATCATCACAGGGAGCAAAGGGTGAGGACATTCTCCATCCAAATGTAACGCTTCCAGCAATCACTGGCAGTGTGCATGGTGATGCCCCATTCCTCACCAACAGGCTGTGGTCCCATGGAGCAGGACGCTGTGCAGGGCTGCAGGTTCAGAAGGCTCACTGCATTTGTGCACCCACATACACAGACATGGCCTCACAGGACTCTCCGGCTCCCCCAGGAAGAAAATCTTTCTTTTTCGGTAAGGACACACTTACCTGCTCAGGATCTTCTGCAGCACAAAGGGCTTTCAGAGGGCTGACTCAACACGAAATAGGAGATGCAGCAGCACAGCAGTGTTTTCTCTGTACTGTCTGTGCCCACTTTTCCAATCAAGCTTTACCCACTGGCACTGAGAGACCGACACTCACTTCACACCAACACACCCTGAAGAAATCAGGAATCTACAGGCAATACCCATCACCTGGGAACAGCGTATGGATTTGTCACTGTCCTCAGAGGAGTGAGAATCTCAAAATCAATGGCCAGATTGCTCTGATCCATACCTGCAGATGCCTCATCTGCGATAGACGCAGTATTGACAGCTCTTCATTGCACCGACAACCTCGGCCGGGTAATTGCTGTGCAGTGCAAGCAGTGCATGGGGAGCTGGAGCCCCAAAACAGAGCTGATGCAAACAGTGCTCTGCAGTGATAGATATGGCTGTTCTCATTGCTTTCAGGCACAGCAGTCCTGAACCGAAGCAAACCCTGAAAACAGCAATGGTAAAGGGAGGAGAAATCAGTGAGAAAGAACAGCCGCTAAGGGGGGGAAAGTGTAATGAAGGGATACCCAATATTGACAGATCACGTAGAGCAGAAGGAGATGGGGTAGAAAAATCAGTCGAATGCAGACAGAAATATGTCTGGAGGGGGGGCACTGGGAATTTCCATTTGCTGCCAGAGCCTATGGATAAATGGAATGGAATAAAAGGAAGAGCCCCAGTGCTGTCTCAAAATGTGATTTCCTGAGCTATTTTCATTACTGTCTGCAAAACGTTATCAAAGTATTATCTGCAGAATGCAACGGGGAAGGGAGAAGATCAGTCTGGAAAGGTCTTGGAGCCATTAATAATTTCCTCTGGCAACAAGGAAACCTGCCCACACCTCCAGCGTTGGGAAGAGCAAACAGGCAGCGAAATCCCCGCCGCGCTCTGCCCTGGAGCCAGGTTCTTAACTTTCTGATCACTTTTATTTCAGTTTCTTACACTTCAGCAAAACGCAGCAGAGCTTGACAAATTCATTTTGCAAGAGAAAGTCTGCTGCAACTTGTTTGCCTTTTGTTTTCATAGTGTGGACGCGGAGGAGCGCATTCCTGGAAAAAACCCTAAAAATGATGTTAGCAGCTCCGCCAGGCTCAGGCTGGGGAGCAGTGCTGGGTGCTGCCAACAGCCCGTGTCCTGCTGTGCATCCACACAGTTTGGGGCTCATGGGCTGCAGCACGCTGTGCCGTGCTGTGCTATGCCATGGTGTGCCACGCTGTGCCGTGCAGCGCTGCTGCAGGTGCCAGCACTTTCCTAAGTAGGTCACATCAGCAACGAGTGCAGATGTCATGAGATAAGGGTAAAAATCCAAGCAAAAAAGTATGGAAAACATCTGATCCCCAAACTCCACACCCTATGAATTCTTAAACACCCTTGGATGTTCCTGGGTGAGAAGCAGTAGCCGCAGAAGAGCTAAGTGCACTTTTCCTCTAAAGCAGCGACTCAGGCGGTTGCTGGTGGCAGAGGCCAAGAGAAATAAGACCACGTCTGCAAGTTTGAGGAAAGCCTCAGAGTCATTCCATAATAATTTTACCTCCAATTTGCAGCTTCTTGTGCTAGAGGCGCTGGGAGCAGAAGACGCAGTGTGGACACAGATGTGGACACAGATGTGGACGCAGATGTGAGGCTGCCAGGTAGCAGGGGAGCCAGGACACATCCTGCCCACACAGTGCCCACCTGCATTCACCCCTTGCATGGAGCCTGCTGGGCTCCCCTTGCTCTCACTCCCCTACAGCACGCAGAGGCAGCGGCTGAAGCACCGCATTGTGCTCACCCGGCACCTTTCGCTCGCCCACAATCTGTCATTGTATGCGGTTTTATCGTGATTAAATCCCAGATGAACATACATGGGGAAAGTTCATCCAAACAGATGGGGAACAATGGGCGTTTGAAGGCTGGAAGGCAACAAGTGGTGCTTTCCAAAGGTAGCAAAGTTGGCATTAAATGCAGGCAATGCCTCCAGCAGCACAGGAGCACGCTGCGTGCAGTGCTCGGGTGTGGGAATGGCCAGGAATGGGATGAGAGAGGTTTATACTTTATTTGTGTCAGCAAGCAGCGTGTTTCTGCTCACAATATAAATAGTGAATGCTTGCACTAATGAAATGCTCTCTAATGGCAGCCAGGAGACTTTGCTTTTCCCCAGGTAGAAATGCTGGGAATTCAAATAACCAGCAAGTTTTGCAAATCGCAACCGCGTTTATAAGCTATAAACTGTGCAAAATGTGCTGGGCGCCTGAGGATTTTCAGACCCAGTTGCAGCTCATGTAAAAATTCTCTTTTTTTTTTTTTTTTTTTTGTCCGCAGCACAAAATGAAGGCAGCAGATGCTGATAGGAATCAGAGAGGGCAAAAAGCCTCATAGCACCAAATGCAGCCATGCCCTTCCCACGGGTTTGTTTTCCAATGTGATCAAAGTGGGGTAATGAATGGGCCAAGAACCTCCATGGGCAGACGGTGTGATCTGGACTATGAGGGTATTCTCTGTGAGTCCATATAAAGTAGAATACACAGATAATCCGTGGCCAGAGGAAGCCTTCAGGCTGCTGCACACACCCCAAGAAGGCCTCGGCAACACGGGGTAAACAATTAACACAAATTTCAAATCACTGCACTGTCACCTTAATAGGCAGTGAAGTCAGCTACGATGGGCGTAATAGGATGAGACAGTTTAATTCTTGTTATGACATTAGCTGCAGCCTTGTAAAGCAGCTGAGAACGGCGCAGCAAGGGGCTTGCAGTCACTGTGGGCTGTGGGCCTGGACAGAGCAGGATCAAATGGCACCCAGGCTCTGGAGTAACGCTGGGGATGCGTTCCCTCATCACACGGAGTGGGTACGCTGTTAGAAAGGTCAGTTACAGATAAAGCAGGGCCATTTTTCAGCAATGAGAGCAGCTGGGAGGCTGTGCACGGTATCACGTTGTACATCATAAACACACATATCCAGGAGGTGAACTGAACCAATTCTGTTTTCCCAGCATTAAGCTTCAAAAAATTAGAAGTCACCCAGGCTTGAACCTCAGACAGACAGGTAATGAGCCATGACAGCCCTGCACTGGGATGCGCAGGAACGGGCAGGCCGGGCTGGGTGTCAGCCACAGGAACGCGCCTCAGCCCCAAAACTCCGAGCAATGCACCAAGTGTGAGCACGTCCCTGTGTGGATGGGCTGGGTGGGCTGGGGGCTGGGGTGGCTGCTCCTCAAGTGGGGCTGCAGGCTGGCTGGGAATGCAGCCCCGGGCTGGGGAACTGAACCAGCGCTTCGGGGATGCTGTCCTGTCGTGTGATGTGTTCACAAATGGAGCTTTCTTCAGGTTGGGTATTAGGAACAGTTGGGATGGATATTAGGAAAAAAATTCCTCCTCAGAAAGAGTGGCAATGCAGTGGCACAGGCTGCCCTGGGAGGTGCTGAAGTCACTGTCCCTGGAGGTGTTCAAGACACGGCACTGAGGGACGTGGTTAGTGGGCAATGACGTGGGTGGGTTGGGGCTGGACTGGATGATCTCAGAGGTCTTTTCCAACCTTAATGTTTCTAAGATTCTTCCATATTTTTCATATGTTGGAGTGGTTTTGCCTCAGCTTCATTTTGGGCGACTTGTTTTGGAAACAAGCTGAGCTGCCAAGCTGCCATGCTGTGAAGCACCTTAATTCTGCATGATGGGGTGGGATAATGTCTGGTAGGAGGATGGTGCTTGGCCTCTCCCTGCCCACAGGATGAATAACATGCGGGGCCTCACCGACTGCTACTCTCCCCAAAACTCACCTCCAGCTTTCTGGATCACGCAGTGCTAAATTCCTGCAGCCAAACAGGGCTTTCGTGCCTTTATATGGAATTGCAAACCTGTCTTAAGTCTCAAAAGATGCTTTTATAGGAAAATCTCGACAGCTGCCAGCTTCCCTAAATCCCAAACTATCATTACAGGTTTAGTTGCAGACGAGGGATTTTTCTGGACCTTCCCTCCTGACCCAACAATAAAGCCAACTTGGTCTGAGATTGAAGATTCATTTATCTCTCCTTGGCAATTATCTCTATTGCTGCCTGCAATCCTTCCCAATCTTTCTAAACAACATCCTGCTATTAAAGCCACTTGGCAAGCATTTAAAGCCCAGGATAAGTTAACCATGCACGAATATCCCACTCGGGGAAGGATCCAGCTATAAAAATAAACAGTTTGCATTTTGAAGGGCATGGTTCAGGAGGGGCTTTCTTCATTTGTGAAGAGAGGTCATCATTGCTGACAATAAAATTATGTAGGACCTGATCCTCCCCCACTGAGCTCAACAGCAAAATCCCTCGTGGTTTCAATGGTGTTTTCTGAGGTCAGCTGCTGGGAAAGCCAACATTCCTCAAAGTTGCTGAAAATCTATAATTGGATATATTAAGAGGGCTTTCAAAGGGATGTCAGCTTTGGAGGCTTAGTGCACACCATGCTGCAGAGGGGATCCCCGCGCATCACTGGACCCGTGCAGCCTCAGTGCTGCTTTGCTATCTGGTCTCCTGCTGTGTCTGTGGGGCTGCTGGGGATGTGGGGCTGTTATCCTGCCCATAAGCTAGCAGGTTGTGCAGCTCTCCTGTCACAGCACATCTCTGTGGGAGGGACATCCTGGTGATCCTCGCTGCACCTTGCATGTCCATGTTTAGTAAAATTAAGTGCAGCTTGGTCCTTAGGGATGTGATTTGAAAGCATCCCCCAAAAGCAGGTTATTAACTCATGGGCTGAACTTCAAAGTGTTTTTACGCTCCTTTGGAAATGCTCACCACTCGCTTTTTGGGAGCTGGAAACCTTCCACTTCTCCTTACACAGTGCTTTCCTGGCCCACAGGCAGCATTTCCCTTAGGCACTCAGATGGGAATGGGGCACTTGGTGTGGGCCCAGGGGTGGGGACACCAAGGAGCACTCCAGCCATGCTGCAGACATCCTCCTGGAGAGCTTGGAGTCCTTCTTTTCCCTTTCACTTTGTCAGAGAAAGATGAAATTCAGCAGAATCTGTGGAAATCACAATGGAGAATTGCTGGTTTGCTGTGCTGCCTGAGATTTTAAATAAATATTTTAAATAAATAACATTAGAGTGACATGCATTTGTTGTCTGAACAAGACACCACTCCCATCAGGGCAAATCAGAGCAGGTGACTTCTCCAGGTTACCTTCTGCAGCGTTCTGTGGCAAGCAGGAGATACCAGTGGTGCTTGACTGCACTCGTTCGTGAGGCACTCAATTTATTCCCACTCTATGCGGGGTGGTTGACAAAGAGCTGAGAGCCATCGGAGCTCACTTGCAGAGGACTTTTACTCTGGGAAAAGCGGTACTGGCGAGTTTTAGTCCGGGCAGCCTAATATCAATCGTATCAATGTTCTGAGATGCTGCAAAGCCACAGCAATAGCAAGGAAACAGCCAGCGTGGCCCAGCGCCAAGCACGGCTGGAGGCCGAGATACCTGCAGAGCACAAACACCTTGGGGTGGTGCTCACCTGGACAAACAGCAGCTGCCTGTCCCTGTGCGGCGCTGGTGGGATGGATGGGGATGGTACCGCTCCCTCGGCCAGCTCCCAATTTCCCTCATTACCTGCCCTAAGCTTCCCTCAGAGATAAGGAGTCCTTGCGCAAAGCCGCTAATTTAATCCCAGCAAAGCAGAGAATAAGTCTGGATGCAAAAGGCTGGTGGGATTTTGACAAGATGCATGTCGGGGTTGGGCGACTAGTCTTAATTAGGCCATCTTTGTTTACATTTGATGTTTATCAGCTAATTGGCATGGCAAGGTGTGAGTCACACTGCTTCCCTCTGGCATCAAATCCATTTGCGGGAGAAAAACTGGGAGAACAAATTATCCCAATTACAGGACACCCCACTGTGCTAATTGCTGTCCCAGGGAGGCAGAGCCTTGCACCACTGCCGTGACTGCGCTGCTCCCACGCAGCCCTGCACCCCCAGGCCTGCGCCTTGCTGCCCAGTCCCCTCTGCCACTGCTCTCAGGTCGGGACTGCCTCCTCCATCCTTTCCCCTTTACTTGTTCTGCCTTGGTGAGGCCATGCAGATCATGAGAGACTTGTCCTCGTGCCTCTGACCTTGCAGTGCTCATCAGATCAGAGCCTGGATGTGTGCTGTGATGGGGCTAGATCTCACCCTCGTTGTTGAGGCTCCCAGGCAGCGTTCAGACCTGCCTGGGCTCTTCCTTTAAAAATGCTTTTGGATCATCAGCAAACAGTCCGATGCCCTGATCTGTCCTCCCCTTCCTCAGCACTTGACTGCTGTGATTCTGAGCGTTCCTCGCACTGTAAAACTCCACCTTCCTTTCTCTGCCTCCTTCTCTCCCCACCCTCCAGGATGATGCTGTGCCCTCATACCCTTTCAGTCCCTATAGCCTTTCCCCTATACACGAATGTTCCAATGCGCAGGAATGTTTCTTGGCTGCCCTTGAGTTGAATGATGATCCTGGAGGCTTGGAAAAGCCACAAAGCTCAATGCTCTCTGTCTCCCTGTGTCTCTCTTGTCTTCCCTTCTTAGTAGGGGTAACAGATGGCTGAGGCTTTCACCAACAGTCCCGAACACATTGTCACTCCCAACTGAAAGTGAAATATTCAGTGGCATTTAAATTAAATAGACTCTAATGCTTCAGTAATATTAATTACGGTTTCATTCATCCCTGGCCTAATAAATCAACACATAAAGATAGGATGATCCCGTGGCTGGCAGCAAAGCAGGGCTATTCTGTCCTTTGTAAGGTTATGCACACAAAGCCCCCATTCTTACGGGGACATGATGGCCCCTCCAAACATCTGTGCTCAGCACCACTTGAGGAGAAGCCAAAGTGGTAACATTTAAACTTTTCTTGTCCAATTTGTCCACGCATCGGGGTTCAATTCAACAAGAACTTTCAGGGAAAATTATAAAAAACGTGTTAAGTGGGCGAAAACTTCCCCCTGCTTGCACTGCAGGCGAGCAGATTTATTCCAGCTGCGCTGCCCAGAGCTGTGTGCTTCTTACCCCAGCCCCACATCCAGGCTCAGGGCACAGAGGTGCTACGGGAAAACTTTGCCTAACGGTGACATTTTGCTGGCTGGTGAAGCCCATGGGCTACAGTTTTTCACACAATTTTTATTTTTATTTTTTTTTGGTGTATGCATACCACAGGGAAAATAGACTCTGCACTTCACCAACAACAGTTTTTTTTCCCCCTCACTGCTATACATATGTAAAAGGAGGCTAATAAAACGGCTGAATAAAAGATCTCTGCTAGTAAATCTTCTGCAGACAAAACCCTCCACTTGTGACGCTTCAAAGCTGCCCAGAGCTACCAGTTTAGCCCAAAAGTCCCAACTCAGGGCCGCTGATTGGAAAATAAAAAGCCCTGTGCATAAAAACTTCACTCCAATTGTTATGCAGTGAATGCAGCGTTTACATACAGCAGCTTTACTTGACCAAGTGACTCCCGAGGACTGCAGTGAAAAGCCGGTCGTGATGCAGCTCGGCTCCTCTGGGAAGGCCCTTCTAGAGAAGGTTTGTAAGGAATAAGGGAGGTCAGGATGAGAAATCAATGCCTCGTCTTGTAAGGACATCACTGAAATCTGGAGCAGTTTTAAAACAAAATGGCAAAACAAGACACAGAACTGCAGGGCGAAGCAGTGGGACAGTGAGGTTTGGCAGCAGCCTGGGACAGGATGCAGAGGGGCTCACCCTGTGCTCCTCAGGGGGTTCCTCATGGAGCCAGGGGCCGATGGGGCTGGAAGTGCTTTGGCACAGGAGTCAGGAGGGCAGCTTCAGTTCTACAGATCCCTATGGGATGGGGACAGCAGCCTGCCTGGCCAGGGGTGTTTTCTTCCCATGCTTTGATGTAGCAAAAAGCTGGGTCACCCAGCTGGTGCAGGGCGGGAGGGAGGCACTGGCACTCTGTCACTGGAAGTAGGCTCCCTTCTGCCTCCTCACCTCCAAATGGGCACAAGGTCACTTAAGCACTGCTCTGGAGGCCTGAGAGAAGGCTAGGCAGCCTCGGGCAGAGCCCCCTAAGTGGGAAGGGATGGAGAGGGCTGTACTGCAGGCACAGGGCTGGGGGAGCCTGGCAGGGAGCCGCAGCTGCTGCTCCCCCCAGGGCTTGTTCCTTCCCCATTGGGCCTCGCTGCCCCCACCAGCCCATGCCTCAAGCCATCCTGGGAGCTGCTGGCGGCCCTCAGTGTTCCAGCTGGTCCAAGCCCACCGCAGCAGCTGAGCGAGGAGCGCCTGCTCCTCGGCATGTCCTAGTTCCCATCAGCTGGCTGGGGCCGTTGGAACAGACAGCCAGAGCACATGTTGCTCCAGCCCTGCTGTACCCAGGCCTCCAACTAAGGAGCTTGGGGTAAAAACTGGGGCAAGAGCTGCCTGGGGATGTCAGGGTGCTCCTTCTCTGCCATTCACAGAAATCTCAAATGATTCTCTTTTGATTCCTAGTTTGGAAAAATATTCAATGTTTCCAGACTCAACAACTAGCATCTGTTAGTGCAAACCAACCTTTCATCCCACCCATTTCCAGCAAAGTATTCCCTGTGGATTTCAGGTGCTCACAGCTGATGAAAGGGTTCCGACGGGATCTGCCCAGAGCAATGCCACTCATAGGCTCTGGGAGCTGTTCCATTGACCAGAGGATGGATCCTCTCTCTGTCTTGTTTAGAGATAACAAACTTGCTAAAACCAGCATCCCTTCCTCCAGGCTACATGAACTCTGAACTACACCTCCACGGCCTCTCTACAGACAAGCCAGTTCTCCTTGAGAAGACTGAAGGTACACACTGCACCAAGTATTTTCAAACCACTAGATTTGTTTGAATGAATAATGTTATTAAAACCTTGATAAAAGTTACCGAAATCCCCTAATCAAGGAGGTGCCTGCCGTTCACAGAAAAGAAGCAAAACACAAAGTTCACCCTTCCTTTCCCAAGCAGAGGCCAGCAGACATGTTTCAGTAACGCAGGAATCTGCATTATGGGGCCATTAGTGCTGGTTAAGATTCCCAAAAGTACAACATGCCATGTTAAGCCATTACCGCCTGTCCTCGGACATAAACCTTCTGCAACCTGCTATGGGCTAACATGAGAATAGGTTGGAAAGCAATGTGAGTATGGCAGAGATGAGCAGAGAACATTTCACTGGATTTATCTCAAGATGCAATTTGTTAACATTTTTTTTTCTTCGTTGCTCAAAACATTCCCTGGTAGTTATTTTTAGTAGTGACATATATGTTTCCTAGTAAGACATTTTGCATTTAATAGTAATAAGAAATAACATTATCTACTTTTTATGATTGAGGATGAAGGAGTCTATTCTAATAGCTTCAGTTGTCAACACAAGGTCCTTCGGTACTACATTTCTTGGCCTCCCTGTTGTAAAAGAACATGCCTATGTAGATATTATTAATTTATCACTGCACAAAACAAAGTTTATGAACACTTAATATTTAATGTACTGTGAATTTAATAATAAAAAATTAAGACCCTACCTTACATCATTTTTTAACTATCTGATTTTTATTCTTCTCATTAGCTCTTTATGGATCCATTCTGAGCCATGGCTTGGGCTGAAAAAGCAGTCAGTTGCATGGGCTGAAGAGTAAATTCTTCCTCTCTAGCCCAGCTGAACGCAGAGACAACACCATGATGAAATTAAGCACTATGACATTTCTATCATGTATGGAACACAGGGACATAAATATAAATACAAACCTGTAGTGCAATTAGAGCAGCCGCCTGCACGAACTGAAGACATGGGTTTTCCTGCCTAGTGAGGACATCAGGCAGGCAGGATTATCTTTCACAAAGGTTTGATGCTTCTGTGTTTACATTTTGCCAGTCTTCTGGCTTCTCTAAGGGCTTATGCCACTTCTGTCTGTCTGAGCAGCTTCTTGCATAAATGTGATTAATAAAAGAGTAGTTCTCTACAGCAAAAAAATTAACTGATCTTCCTTGTTATTGTGATTTGGTTTCCTCAGCACAGCCTGACAGATCTTGTCATTACCTGCAATCCCTCTGGGTGCTCAAAATAAAGCAGGCTGGGGCTTCAACTCATGAACATGCCTTTTGGTTCCAGAGGCAATGCCTGGCTCAGTCTCAGCTAAGGATCTCACTCTGTTATGTCTCAACACACATATGCTTATGGTATATGATTCTGCTCCTACAGTAGGACTCATTCTAGATTTCAAGTACAGAACATGACTCATACCCCTTTCTTTCTTTACATTTGTATTATCTAGCCTAGCTGTTGAGGGTTTAGTCAGAAGAATAATTAATGTTTAGTTGATAATCTGAATCCCAACAGCTCATCTCAGACAATGTTCCTTGTCAGCAAATCCTGCACCATAGAGACTAAGGGACAAATTTGCCAATGTCAGAAGGCAAGGACTGCATGCAGAAATGCAGCACACCCATCTGCCCTGCACTGCTGCATCACATCTGTAAAAAACCCACATTGCACCAGCAGCAACACAGCCACAATTTGGCATGGCTGTATATAGCAATCACGTATTAAGGAATATGGATCGCCAGGCATGTATTTAGCTGGACATTTATACATGCAAATATCCAACCTGCAGATCCAACATGTCTGTGCCTCTCAGGGTATTCACGTCCAACAACCCAAAGTGGCAGAGCTGAAAGAAACTAGAGAAGCAGCGACTGGAACAAAAATAGAGAAGCCTTCATCTTGTTAAAAGCCTGGCGCCTATCTCACTTTTTTCTAAACGAGACAGAAGGCAAATGTTCTCCAACAAAAGATAAACAATGAATAACAGAGCTGGAATATCAATATGCCTGAGTATGGGAAAGAAGCAAGATGAGACAGAAAGGGAAAACCAGCAGCAGAGCTCATGTCTTGCCCATGATCAGTCGAAGTAGAGTGCGCTGCTAGAGCTGCCCCTGAAAGGAATGTGAATGGGGAAGAAAGGAGATGTGACACTATCCAAGAAAAGGAAACTTGGAAAACTACCAGGAAGAAATTTGGAGTAGGAAAAACAAATCATCAGGAATGGAAAAAAAAAAATGGAGAAACATGGCCTGAAAACCATCACATGTCCCTGGACCCACTTTGGAAGGAAGGAGAGGAAGAAGATTTGTTTCTTCCATTGAGAGTTGAATCTGATGTACTGGTCAGTGAATGACAGCTGAAGTTCAGCTACCTCTTGCCTTCAGCCAACTCTCCCCCAGGACAGCACACTGGATATGGGGGCAGAGGGCAGGCTGCAGGGTACAAGAGGAGGAAGGGGAGATGCATGTGACTTTGACATATGGGACTATGTGACAGTCCCACATCTGGGATCTGTTCTGTTCTCTTTGTATGTGTTTGAACCTAGAAAATGGCCAAAATGTAGCATCTGAATGCAGCAGTTCCCAATGTGTTTTTGCAGGACAGTGGGTGGTAGATGTCAGTGTAGCACCACAGATGCTTCAGCCCAGAAAAAAATCAGGAATTATGCCCCTGCCTGTGGTGTTGCGGATGGGTGCAGAGTGGTACCTCTTCCCTGCCATTTCTGCTGGCCCAGAGGTACCTTGCTGCTCCAGCATCATCACAACAGCAGAGCAGCTACCAGAGGAAGATGATTTCAGGGAATAAATAGACGTGGTGGCAATGCGACACTATGGTGGCTGTCATCACCTGGATGTCACAAACCATCCACCACCATATCACACCACTGGCCCCTGCTCCATTCCTTGCTGTTACTCTGCATGCCTCCTGTGCAGCCCTGCCAGGGAAACATCCTCACAGGTCAGGGATGGTGTGAAAAGGGGTTTTCTTCTCGCAATCTGTGTGCTGCAAAAGAAAATTATTCTATTCCTCCCCTCCCCTCTCCAGGCAGCAGGACAGCCCCTTGCAAACTTGTCAGTGACCTTTTTGTTACAGGTGTCTCTCAGTGCAACACCTAGGGGACAGAGTTGCAAAATATCACTAGGTACAAACTTCTAGGAGAGCAAACAGCTCCACCAAATACAGAGAATTGTACCTTGAGTCACTCATTGAAATAAATGAGAGCACCAGTTTTTTTTGTTTGTTTGTTTTCTCACGCTCTTCTGTTTTTGGAGCTTAGGTCAGCTGCAGTAAATGACCACATTGCTTGGAACACAGAGCAACACTATGCTCCAGAGCCTTTCCTGCTCATGGAGGCTTAGACCATGATTGATCTGCTACATGGGTTGCTCTGAGTGTGGCTAGCCGTCCCTCTGTCCCCAGCTTGATGCTTTACTGCTTCACAGCCCTCTGCGTAACTGCATGAGTATCTAACCTTCCTCCCAGGCAACAAACATCCCATCACAGATACAAGAGGACACACAAAACCTTGATGTAAGGACTAAAGACCAAAGGTCAAGTGTCCTCAGCAAGTGCCTGTTCCTTGAAACCATCGTGATTAAAGTGCTGCCATATGAAATTTTGGAATACATGTGTGTAACTGCTTCCTGCAAGCGTCTGTTAAAAATCAAGCTGAATCCTTTAATTGCAAGGTTGGTGAAAGCTGCTTTGTAATTTGCAGAGGGTTTGTGTAATGCATGTACATATTTAGTGAGGGGTAATGAACCCTCCTTCACCTCCCATCCAGCGAAGCATTAGCACCACCAGTTGGTCATCAAGCCTGAATAACACTCAGTCCAAAGTGCAGCAACAACACAAGAGCTTTGTTTGGGCTCTCAAGAGCAATGTGTTGTGTCATCCAGATGTACTGCTTAGTTGACCTGAAGTTGAGGCAAGTCACATTAAAATTGCGTAGGTGCATTTTTTCCTGGGTTTGTTGACTGCACACGATGTGTTCCAGCTTGAAATTTAAAACATGACTGTTAGAGAATCAGGACACTTTGAAGGGCCTATCAGCTCTTCCCTGCTATTACAGACTGAGTAAACAGGAATTGTTTTCCTTTTTCCTGCTTCTCTGCCTCTGCTTCTCTCTTCCCCTTTACTTGTTCATGGGCAGCATGCAGGCATTTCACAGTACTTGCAGTAATTTCAAGTCTCATTCTTACCTGTGCTAAGGCTCCTGGCATTGCCTCAGGACTGTGCACGAAGTACCTTTATATCTGCTTTGCACATCTGTCTGGTCATGAGCACAGGTCCTAAAGGAGAACCAGGATCACCACATCTGCAGTGTTTTGAGCTCTAAACTAATGAAGAAAGAGAGAAGTGTAAAAGCGTACGTGTAAATATGACCACAAAACAAAGATGGAGTTATCTGGGCTGGCTGAGATGGAAAAAGAGTGGCAATCAACACTCAGCAAGGCACAATACCTCCTAATAAACAAAACAGAGTGTCAGTTCAGTGCATACAAGGAGGGAAACTCTGTAATGCATCCCCTTACAAATAAAGCCTTCGTAGGCCCCCAAGCACTGACATTAATATCCAGCCCATAGCACATGGTGGATCAGTACATGGTGGTGCCCTGCTGCATCTTATCTGGCTCCTTTCATCTCGTGTCCCTGCTGCCCTCCCTGCTTGGGATGGTACCTGGTGGTGGCATCTGAGGCTGTACAGGCTGATGTACTATGGCAGGATTGTCTCTCTCAGAACCAGTATGTCTAACAAAAAGCAACGCCCTGGACATCTTGACTTGTAAAAAATTTTTAATTAATCTTGTTCACAGGTGAGTTCAAGAATCTCAGTGATGCCTGTGGCCTCCCTTTGCCACCTAGTAGAAAACAAGAGGTGGCTCGTGCCAGCCCAGGACACTACCATCACTTTGAAGGACCCAGAAAGACAAAGGGCTAGGTGGGCCAGGTAGGTGAGAGAAGAACAGGACAAGGAATCTGCTTTTCCTATCAGAAAAGTTCTGATACTCTTTGTGGCACACCTGCTGCTTGCTTTATGAAATACTCTCCATGTTCACGCTTGATACACTTGTACAAATAAATATACCACAACATCTTTTTTGTTTCCTCTTCGAATTTCTTTCACATTCCCTCCTTCTTCAGTTGAAACAAGTTTTGATTCGAGGATATTCCCACGAGAACATATAATAGCTGAACCAAAATCATCTTTGATGCCTTCACCTTGTAAGATATTGTCAATAGTCAAAATGTACAGCAAAATACTACTGTTCTCAGCATGACATTGTGTCTGGTGCTGGCACAAAATCTACCCAAAACGAGGAGTTTGTTCATGGGAGCAACACCAGAGTTCCTCATCCGAGCAAGCACTGGCAGCTTGCTCAAGTGTTCAAGCCCTGCCTCTGCAGTAAGTACGGGGTTTGTAAAGATTTTCTTTCGAGAGCTTATTAAAATTGAAAAATTATGCAGCCCATTGCCAAGTTGTTTCTCCCAGGCTGTACAGTGCTCAGATAGCATATCGTTTCCGTAGCTGAGCTCTCGGCCACGCAGGCTGTTCCTGTGAAGAGGCTGGGCAATCTGCAGTGCCGTGCCGTGCTCAGAAGTGCCGCTCAGACTGTAAATATTATATGCTGCTGCAAGAACATTTGAATGGTAATACTCAAGCAATTACTTTCCTTTCAAGATCATTAAACACAAATCTGACTTGTATTTTAATAGGACTGCCAATGTATTTAATGGGGGGCAGTAAAGGGTAGTTTTTTTCTAATGGATGAATGTTTATATTATTATCCACTCTGAGAGAGCACATTAGGAGCAGACTGGATAACGCTCATGTGTTTTGCCTCAGTCCTTTTTGCCCAGTATTCATTTTTTTCCCCTCAGTTTTGCATCTTACAATCTTATGGCAAAACTGCATCCACAGTAAAATCCACCACTACACTCTGCTTATTAGGCACAAAAGGTCATAGAGACACTTTCCTTCCCTGCCAACTTCGGGGAAGGTTTTACATGTACTGCAGTGCAAGTGTAGCTCCATACTGCATGGTGCTCTTAACCGTGCTCTTCATCCAGGATGGAAAGACACATTTCTGTCAGGTCAGTGCTTCCTTGTCAGTATGGAGCTACAACAGAGGTTTGCTGGTTGAAGGTGCATTCAGTGAGCCACCTGTATGCCCACTACAATGTTTTGGGTGTACAACTTGATGTCTCCCTGGGAAGTAACGATGGACAGAAGTTACTACAAGGGTACCAGGCAGAATTTGGTAGAGTTTATAGGTGTTCACTGCAACTGTTGTGATAAATAACATCAGGAAGGTGGTTTTAAATCTAGAACTCATTGAAAGAAGCTCAAGAGTTATGCAATGGATAAGGCTTCATATTGCTTTCCATTCCAATGAATGGCAGCAAAGCCCAACCAGGAATCACTGCAGGATTGCATTTACAACCAGGACTTAATGGAGCGGTAATGGTAGGAACTTTGAATGGTTTCTGAGAGTTGCAAGCAGTAATAATGCAGATTAACACTGCCAAAAAACTGCCTCACCTGAAAGCTGGAGAAACCCCATTGCATTGACATACCTCACTTCACCATCAGTGTGGAATGGCTCTGCTACAGCAGCAGAGCCTGCTTGCCAAGAGCTTCTCCAGGCTTTTTTCAGCAAAGGCCCCCCTTAGAGGCACCACACACTTGCAAGGGCAGCCAAACATGTGGAGCACCATGTACAGCATAGAGAACATTCTCAGAGATGAGTACAAATCCAGGTCTCTCCTCAGAGAGGTACTGTAGACCCCTAGTTGCTGAATTTGGGACTATTATTATAGAAAACTGTTGACATTTTCTGTGTTAAGGACGCTTATCTGGAATTCATGGATAATTTGATCCTCTTGGCTTGAAGAAATAGTTTGATACACTCTTTAAATAAGCATACAAAGAGATTGATGTATGTTGTCTTTGGGTTCAGATGTTCTGAAAAGTGACATTTCTGTATGGCAAAGAATAAGGCTTAAAAGGGGATATTATTTATAAAAGCACCAGCATGCACAAGCAGTGTTTATTTACCATTTAAATGCCTCATTTCTGTTCTGGCTGTCTGTGCTATAATTTGCACAGGCACTTAAACTTGAGTATAAATAAATGCACAGAAGTAGCGTTTATGCGGAGTTAAGATGAGGAAATCAAGCGCTAAAAGATGGAGGCCGCTCCGCACCGCCGTTCAGCCATCTTAGCACCTTTGGCTTCTGCTGAGGTCTCCTCTAGCAGCAAGCATGAAGCCATCCATGCTTGAAAGGCTTGCTCAAGCTGCCAGGCTGAAGATGTGGCTGCAGTTCAAAGAGCCAAGCCCTGGCTGGCATTTCATCCCTACAATGCAAGAAATGCAAGGGAAATGCAAGGAAAGGCTGCAAAGAGAGATCTCATGCAACTTGCCAAGACTCTCAGGTTGGGAACATCTTCCTCACCTCATCTTTGGGCAAACTGAGACCTGCTCCAGCAGAGGAAAGGAAGACGCCCACCCTTAACTTAGTGTGTCTATTAGAAGGGTCGGAGAAGTTGTAACTTTTCCTCACATTACAGCAAACCACTCTCTTGAGTTCATGAGAAAACAGGCAGTAGGAAGAGAAATGGGTGTAAGGAAAGGTTATGCCACTTATTTTAACACGTCTGTTCTGTGTCAGTCAATGGGGAACGTGCCCTCCCTAACTTGACCTCCTTCACCACTCTGGCATGGATGACTTGTGCAGCACAGCCATACTACCTCCTGCCTTTGGCAAACAGGCCACGGGCAGCAGCCTGCAAGGGAGGTGGCAGCAAGATGCTGGGCAGGAGGAGCCCTTCACACCCCTCATGGAACACACAGCCTCTCCAGAGAATCCTGTGAAGCACTGCCAGATGGAATGAGACGGAGCTGAGTGTGCACCAACATCTGGCAGGGCAGAGACCTTCAGTCTCAGGTGATGTTTCTGTGCTCAGAGGCAGCCACGTTTAGAAAGTTCCATCTTCTTTGCTTCTGCTTTTATTGCATCCAGGAACAAAGCCTGTGAGCAGAAGGTGCCCGAAGTGAGCTATGCTGACATGGAGAGGAGATGCTGTTTGTGGTCTGCCTTGGTACGAAAAGCAGGGATCACAAAGCATCAGTGCTGTACTGCTCGTTGGGACTCCTTGATGAGGAGGCATGCTTATCTTTTCTAGATCGTGTACTAAGATCAGTGCAGTGTTACCCAACTTACATGCTGCCAATGCAAAAGCATTATCTTGCATCTCGCTTCATTGCAGGGAATTCTAACAACACACAGCTGCTCATTTTGCGATTGTGAGACCAAACCGCTTCCTGCATGGAGTGAAGTGGCATGGAGCAGCACATGGGCAGCCTGCAGGGTTACAACAGGCAGCAGTGTTGAGCTCCCTGCTGCTGCATGGGGACCTGCATTCCACACAGCATCGGCAAAAGGTTGCAAAGCGCCCAGAGCTCTCCAGAGCTACGGCCCCGGTCCTGCCCACGAACAGCATTGTGAAAGCTGTGTGTGTCACTCCTCGGCCAGCTCCTGCTAGCTGTCACAATTGTAAGGTATTTAAGAGGGAAAGATAAGTCGTCCTTAATGATCAATGGGAAATACCAGGTTATTATTCCTCCCTTGCTCCCCTAACAATCTTCAAGCTTTGCCCACAGCAGTGCGTTTGTTCTCGGTCATATTTTGATTTACTGACAGTGGGCTTTGGGAACAGCCCCCGTCATTACTGACAGCCATGGTAAGTAGCCTATTGACTTCAGTAGGTGGGGAATTTCACCCCTTCTATGCGCATGTGTGCATATGAGTGCCTTTTGAAAAGCACTAGGCATACATTAATGCTAATAACTAAGACCGCTGTTCCTTTGCCTGTGTCTGATAGGCAGCAGGCAGAGTGTGAACTGCTCTATGTATCAATTAAATGAAAAATAAATAATAGGGAGAAAGTAATATCTTTAACAGTGTATTCACTGGCACATACATATTTATTAGATTGCAAATGTAACGCTGCTCATATTGTTTATGTTCATCATGAAGCCCTTGAGTCATTTATGGTATCATGGTTTAAATTATGAAAGTCAGACGCAGTAGCATGGCCATATTCCTCAAAGCAGGCTTGCTGAGAAAGCCCTGCTTTTTATTTTTGATTTCATGCACACATTTGATCCATTATTGGTGTGAATCTTGCATGGAACACCATTCCAATCTATGAGAACAAAACCAATTTCTAGGCATTTTTTCAGATTGCCACATCCCATCTTTAAAAACAAGCCAAGTGGAGGCAGGGTTCATTTAATAAAGGTGTAACGTGTGAACGAATCAGGAAGCACAGCAAAAGCATGTGCAATTTGCTGCATACATCAGGAGCAAGGAGCCTGTCTCTTAAAACGTGGTTAAATATGTAAACTCTGCCTAGGGAAAATATTTATTTACCTAGATTGACAGCGATTGGGGTAAAAAGCACTCAAGATAAGTGGCTCTTTAGCCAACTTTAATTTGTTGATGGATGGATTGATGGGAGGATGGTCAAAGGAATGACAACATAACTCTCTGTAATGGAGATATCCTGTCTGCTGGAGTTTGTAGCACCATTTTGTCTAATTATTTGTGATCCATCTATGAGCAAACTTTGCTCCCAGTGAGACAAGTTGTCATTCCTTTTCCTTAAATGGAAATATGAGGAGGTAAAATCAAGAATAATTAGAGCAGAGTACACTTACATCTTCTGCAGTCAAAAATACATACAGAATCATGCCTAGTGCTTAAAGACAGTTTACCATATTAATTGAAATAGTTGTGCATTCTATTACGCAGTTGGTATGAGAACAGATGGCCCATTTCACAAATTAAGCCTCGTCTTTTCATATTGTTTCAACAAAATGAGAGCAAATGAATGCTGCTATTGCACATGATCTCATGTTCAAACCTTATAGCATTGGTAGGGGCTATGCTTTTCTTGTGCAAGTTAGTGGGAAAGCAGGAAAGGAACCACAGAAACATTCTTCCACTATTACTGTGTGTATCGTAAAAGAAAAACCTGCCAATCAAGCAGCACAAACTGATGTCTCAGATTTTCTAATCCAGTCGAAGAACACTTGCTCCAGGACTAGCAATAGGAGAGCAAATACCAGTAGCTGCTGCCCTAGCCAGGAAGGCACCGGCCCCAGCATAACCACGGGCAGCCATGAGGCTGCTCTAAGTTGACACAGCCAATTCTAACATTTGTTTTCTGGGGATGAAGAGCCTGCAATGTCTGAAAACTCAGTTTTCTCCCCGAGTTTCCCAAAATTTGAGTCATCTAAAATTAGGGCTGGTAACTGGGAGCTCTCAGCTCCTCTGAGTGCGACACGATGGGGTAACTGCAGGCATGACCCTACCCACAGCACTGCTGTGTGCTTTGGATCAGCCTCAGCTACACAACAAGCACATATGTTGCTGCAGGAAATTTAATGTGGAAGGCACCTAGCCTCGATTGTAGTTTATAGTTCTTTTCAGCAGGACTGCATGAAGCTAATGACACAGAAGGCCATTTAGGTTAAATTGTGAAACTGAAAGATGCAGCACCTGCTTTTATGCTTCACAAGTTACTGAAATACTTCTTCCCTTCCAAAATGCAACGCAAATGACAATACAAAAAAAAACCCCAAACCTCTACAATGTCATTGTCATAAGGCAGGGTTCATCAGTGCACTGAAAAATAAAAAAATCATATGAGAAACACAAAACATCATTATCCCATTTCTAAACCCTTGGCGCATCCATATCTGTGTCGCACTCCTGTTCTCTCCATGTCAAAAAGGAGATAGTGATAGGTTTTAGACAAGAGAGATGGAAATGATCCAAAGCATGGAAGAGCTGGAAGAGTGAGAAGAAAGCAAAAAGCATCTATCTATTGCGAAAAACATTCCCAAGGGGAGAAACACGGCAGAAGTGTGGAGAAGGCAAATGAAGACATGAAGTACTTCAGCAGATGGATGAGAGGGGTTTAGAAAAAAAGAAAAGTGCCTAATTCCACTGGAATCAAACACTTCTGGGGCTGGCATGCAGCGCATCCTCACCCCCAGCACACATCATCTCAGGCAGTGGGTCTGGGTGGGGAGTGGTGCCACCTCACCAGGGGAGTCCCCAGGGCATCTGCCAGCATCTCAAAGGAGCCTTTTTGTCACGGGCGCAGCGCACGCAATTCAAACGTTGCATTTATTCTCTAGCATCTTCCCTCACTGCTCTTCAAATCAAACAAAAAGCCCTGACTTAAGCAAAAAATGTTACCAGTGGAAAGGGAGCATTGCCAGAGACCGTGAACCCCTGTAGAGATTTTACTTTTGCTATTGATTTTATGCGTGAGATGCTTAGCGACTCTGATAATATCTGACAGTAGAAGAAGCCAGAGAGAGAATAGAAAGGTTAATACAGCAACAATGTCACCAGGAAAACTGGCAAAATTTTCAGAAATTATGGCTCTAAATCTGACTGAAATACCTCACTGTTTGTGAAGCTGACAAGTGTTTTGACAAAAACACCCTCCTCCCATTGAGGAATTTTAATTTCTTACTGTTATTCTTGCAAGATAAAATGGGGTACAATAGAGAGTTACAAATGTTTCAGAAAGGGAGAAATGGAAATGGCAGAGGTTTTGAAGTCTAAGGGGTTAATTGAGATCTTCACCTCAGTGAAAGTACTCCTATTTCCTATAGTGTTAACAGCTTGCTTGTAACTTTGGAGGCACTGGTATTAGTGTGTTAAAAAACCTCATCCAAAAATAAGTTTTGAATAAAGAGGTCTCTGAATAACAGCGCTGCTCCTCTGGGATAGCACAAACCAGAAGGCAAAGGGATGGGCACAGTACAGCCTCAGCTTGTCTGGGACTTTGGAGGATGTGCAGCCAGATCTGGCCTCCCCAGCGAGCCTTGCCAAGTGATGCTGCCTTGGAACATCCGCCCACCCAAAGCAAAACCAGGAGGGAGCCAATTGTGTCTAGAAGAATGTTCCTTCCAAGGGTAAATCGCTTTACAAATGAAAAGAACAGTGGAAAGTCTGGCCAGTGTTTGGGTAGTCCTTCAGTTTGGTGGCCATCTTGGCTTAATGGACGCTTTGCACTGAGTAAGGGTTTGAATTTGGTAATGCTTTGGCACAAGCTGCCCAGGGAGGTGATGGAGTCACTGTCCCTGGAGGTGTTTAAGAAACTGGAGATGTGGAATTGAGGGACGTAGTTAGAGGGCACGGTGGGGAATGGGTTGACGATTGGATGAGATAGTCTTAGTGGACCTTCCAGCCTTAAGGATTCTACAGTTTTATGAATTCTTGTCTGTTGCTTCCTGGTAAGCCCTCCGTATCAATGGTCTTCAACATAAATCTTGATAAGCTGATGCCTGTTAAAAGCATAGATCTGTACAGCTCTGAAGTCTGAGCGTGAGCCCAGCATTTGTGGTTCCAGCTGGGTAATGTCAGGACCTCAACAGACGCAAGGCAAGTTTGAGCATTTGCCCTTCTGGTCAGACCATTCCCCATCGTGCATGATATAGAGAGCATGGACCTGACACCTGGTCAAACACTCATAGCCTGGCCCTGAAAAACGAGGTAACAGGTCTAACCTGTGCTGAACTACTGCTGCACTAAGACTTTCCCCAGATGTCCAGGTCTCAGGCATTTGAACAATGCATTAGAAGCATTTATTCATTAAAATAGAGTGCTTACCACACAATTACTTGAGGATTGTATGTCAAGAGACTAAAATGTCTTGAACATTTAGTTCAGCAAGACTTCCCCCTGTAGCTGTAACCCACTCTATCAGGGAATGCGCTATAGCTATTACAGAGTTAGAGAGCCAAAAAATACACATTTGAAGTGACTGCACGAAAAAAAGTGAATGGGGGTGAAATATAATTAGCTGAGGCAAGGACAAGTAGGTAAGTCTCCACAGTCATAATTTATGTGGGATATTGTTATAGTTATTACCATGCAATTTAACAGGAATACACCAGAGCAATTTTCATATCTTAAAACATGCAGAAGCACTCACATATGTATGAGAAAAGTCTCAGAACTCAAATCATCCAAAATAATCAAGAACGTTATTATCATAAACAGCACAATTAACACAGGGATCACAAGGGATCAGTCTCCAGTCTTGATAATCTTAAGAGAAAGTGAAAGCATTATTAAAACTTCCGTGTAGGAATGGGAGCTACGTTCACATCTTTGTGCACATCAACAGTGCTCTCCAGTTGGAAGTCCCTCCTCTACTATTCTTTGAGAGTTGCAGAAGCAACAAAATTAATAGATTTGAGTTCTGGGTCATTGGAGGATATATATGGTGCTGAAAAACACTTGGAACTGATCTTACATATAAAATGAGTCTTTTCTGAAGCAGAAAAGAAAATTTTCAATTAGTACAGATGAGAAGGAGAAGGCGTGGAAACCATGGGCTCAAGCTTCTGGAGTTTTAAACCTGTAAAAAGAAAAATGCTGCTTTACGAGGGTCTGCACTGACATCCATAATTAATTTACAGGCTTATTTCTAACGTCGCTGTCAACATAGTATTGCTCTCATCAGCTGTATATATTATTTTGACCAATAACATGGAACACAGTGCCACCATTCCAACAAAAGGAGGCATTCGTCATTTTAAGTCTCACTTAAGTTGCTGAAGATTATCCACTGTCCATTAGATTTCAACAGCATCCACATGAAGCTGTTCTAATCATATGTTAAAATGCAATCACCACCTACTCTCAGAACCATCGGAAAAAAACTCTCTCTCCCACACTGATCCAGTTTCTATCTCCATCTGAAGTTTTTTCTCTTCTGTCCTTGCACTCATGTTTGCCCAGCCTGTTTTTAACTCGGTGCGCAGCAGGACCTCATAACTGCCTACCTGAGGTGAATAGCTCCTGTATGCGTGTATATACACAACACATACAGTTTAGAAAAATATATATCTTTTAGGGGAGCACGAGGAAAGGCTGCCAATTCTCCTGAGGTTTTAGTGTTGTCTTTAAAAATCTGTTTCTCTGTATAAAAATGCTGCCCCAGATCTAAATCTAAAGTGAGCGCTTCAGAGGAAGTCGAAAAGTAGTGCAGCTGTCAGTGCCATTTCTGGCATTTCTAGACCACAAAATCATTCTCTGTCTCCTGGCCATGCACTCAAATAGGAACAAATATCCAGATAATGCACAGTAGTGGTTTTGTAATTTCCATGTGGAGCCCAGAGGTGAGTTTGGAGCCTCTTGGAGTTAGGGCAGCAAGCCTCATTACTCCAAATCTGCCTTCCCAGCAAGTAACTCTCTGCAGTTGCAAGAACCCAACAGATCTTCTCTAAATTAGGGCTTATGCATGTTTGTTTATACCCGTATTGTATATGCTTCAGACAAAGAGAGCCCATTATGTTATTCCAGGGTTTTTCTTTTTCTTTTTTATCTAATACTGTGCCAGTCCATGTCTGTAAAAATCTTCTTTCCCATTTGCTGAATCATGCCTGGAATCCATATTAGAGGTCAAGTGTGGAAAAAAAAATTAAAAAACAACAAAAAAGGGGAAGATGTGCTACAGGCAGCTGTTGTTGCCAATGCCCTTTCTTTTCCAGAAATAAAAGTCACACAAAAACTTAAAATCTTGCTAGGTCTGTTCTCCTTACCGTCAGCATTACCTCCCTTCAGATCTGTAAAAGGGCAAATCTTTTCCTAGCAACAGCATTAACCCATCTGCAAGGGTTTGCAAACAGGCTTTCTGACTTTCCCAAAGCTGACAATGTGCTGTTCCTACATGCTCGTGGTTTGGTGTGTTCTCTCTTTAGCATTAGGACCTATTTAACTCCAAAGAGCAGAGGAACAGTAAAGCTCAACACTCTGGAACATTTGTTCTGCTCTGACCCAGGCAAAATGACAGAGCAAAGGAAGAGCTGCTGAGAGCACTTCAGAGGCAAATGTTACAAATGCACAGCTACTGCAGAAAGTTTATAAGCAAGTAAAATTTGAATATGTTAGAATATTCTTACACAATCTCAAATCGATAATTAGACTGCTAGTTGATGAGGCACTTACTTTTGTCTCAGTGAGAGCCATGATCCCAGTTTTTAATCACTGCGTAATACTCCTTAAATAGAAAGGAAGACAGGTAAGCATAATCTCATACAAAAGGTCTGCAGTCTGTTTTGTATATTAAAAGTAAATAAATACAGAGCTAGATACATTTTGTAGCAGCACCTAAAGTGTTTAATGTATGTATTGTTTTAGCTTCTGGACCAAATCTAATTCTATTGCTTTTTCACAGACCACCAACCCCATAACCTTATTTTCTTTCATCACTGAGGCACCAACATGCTTCTCTGCATCTCCCAGAATACTCCCAGCCAGGCAGCTGAAGCCAGCACCTAGTGGCACTATTTCCCTCCCTTATTAGCAATGCAATAAGCATATTTTCAGATAATTGGGTTTCAGGAGCCACATGCTCCTGTCTCTGGCTGAACAGAACTAACTTCGTCACACTTGCTGATGAAGAACTATTGCCGTATATTGCAGAATCACAGAATATTAGGGGTTGGAAGGAACCTCTGGAGATCATCTAGTTTAACCTTCTGCTAAAATGAGTTCCCTACAGAACTGTTGCAGAACTGACCAGGCACTCAGCAGTACTGGGAAGAAGTAAAGCAGATTTCTAATAACAACAATTTGAACTTTTGTAAATTGCTCCAATTTCCACGCTGTTGATTGCTCACTTGACGTTCTTGAAATCCCAACAAACAGTCCTCACACGACCTAGGAAAGCACTAAACAGCAACATATATATGAACCTGTCAGTTCTGTACAACATGGGCAGAAACTCCTCATGTCTCTGCTTTATCTCCTCATGTCTCAGGCCCTGCCTGAGGATGGGCAGTTGGCAAGGCATATCAAAGGTTGACAGGGGTTCATCGACTTAAAGAGCTTAGGATTGACCACAACAACCACAGATGGGTTGAGGCTCAGCTCCAAATACAAAATTTGTGATGGGTCCCTCACTGCAGAGATACCTCATGCCTTCCTTGTATGCTAAACTGGGAAATAAAGAAATCAAGATTAAAAGAGTCAAACTGATATCTTTTTTTGTGTACATGCAAAAATGTTGTATCTGTGTATACAAGTGACAGAAAACTTCAGAAGGGAGTGGACCTTATTTAGAATGCATAACATCAGAGAAGCTGGTAGTCTGGATGTTTTGTAATAAGGCTACTAATATTTAGTCAGCTAGTAACATGTCTGCAATCCATCAACATTTCTCATTCAAGGCAAGGATGAAACCTAGAGGTATATTTTTGGTGATATGTCAATGCTGAAATGAAGCGAGGAATAGAAACTCAGTAATGTGATTTTTGCAATACTGATTGCCATTAAGAGTTTGGCTTTTTGTTGAAGCCATTCTTCATTCATCAGTTCTCAAGGAAAATTTCCAAACAGCTCCAAAAGTAGTGTTTCCCCCCCCCCTTCAAATAAAGCAAGAGACAGATTCTCATGCTCTTTATCTTACAGATCTCCTTGCCAGCAGACACTGGGGATTTAGCAAATTTAAGTATATTTAAAGGGAGACTGAAAAATAACCTGAAAGAGTTCTATTGAAAGCATTTAGATGAGCTGCATTAGGTTCAGAGGACCACATGAATCAGATCCAATCTCCAGTAGGAAAGAAATGTCACATGGAAACATCATGTATGCATACCCTGTTCTTACTTTACCCCAGGCACTTGGTATGGCCACTGCTCAAGACAGGAAGCCGAAACATGCCTTGCTCTGAGTCCTTATAGCTGTTCTCATCTTCCAGTGAAGTCACACTAAAAGTTTTTTCTGGCTTCATGTGGGTGCAGAGCATGTGCTTAGCTGTCCAATTATTTTTTTATTTTATTTTTTACTAGTCTGTCACACTTCAGTTACCTCTTAAATCTATACCTACAGAAGAACAAATTCGTAGTGATGTATAAGCTTTTATTCCACTGTGTTTTAGATGGATTACATCTTTGGATAACATCCAGGTGGGATGGATTCACCTATACTTCCATGATACATCTGAGGATGTGGTGACAGATCAAGAGCAACTTCTCCACCTTGCTGCTCTTTTCACATACAACATACATCATACTTTATTTGTTTTATTACTTACCATATTTTTTCGTGTTTTCTTTACTTTCTGCTTTTATGAAGTTATATAAGGTGATTAATGCTCTCTGACTGTGTAAAGGCTTCACTTGATTTATGAAAAAGTAATTAGAGAAGAAAGAAACCGCCCTTCGAAAAAAAAAACGTGAGACTAGCTGGAAAAGTATGTCTTGGGCGTGGGAACGTTTGCACAATAGTTTGGGGGAAACAAACATGGTGATTTTGTTCTTTCTTGTTCAGTGAGGACCCCAGAGAACAAGATCTCTTTTTAATTATCTGGGGGAAAAAAGAAAAAAAGGTCATCAGGGAATATTGCGCTTCTTGGCCAGTAGATTCACCTGAATTAAACTTTTCCAAAACTTTTGACCAGACTGGGAACTCCTTCCCCATAGCTTTTTCATTTGTCAGAGGGCTTGGTTCGGTTTCAGTGGACAAATCATCAGTCTGGCATCTCCACACCCAGGTGGGAGTGAAATAAGGACCAACCTCTGCCAAAATAATAACAATAATAAACAGAGATATGTTAACTAGTCCTTATGCACGGCCACTTCCTCCTCCAGAGAAAGAGCAAATGAAGGGAAGCATTTCAGAAAATAAAAGCAACACAGTGAAACCTATTGGCACTTACAACTGCCACCCTTCAGCAGGGCTTTCCTACTCCAGAAGCAGAGATTTAAGACTACATAACTTGGGACAGACTTTGCCCTTTTCCATGAGATTTGGAACAGTAGTAGCATGGGGCAGGGAGGCTGCGCAACAGTCACTGTCCAAAGAGCTGGACTGGGTCCTGAGCTTCATCGTAAGGAGTTACTTGAACCAATGTATTATGTGAATCTGAAATAAGATTAACCCCACAGAGTTCTAACGTTATTTGCTTGAAAAGTTTTCCTCCTAGAAATATTTGCAGTAAATGTGTAAGACTACTAGATTTAGGAAGTAACTATTACTACAACAGGAGTGATCACTAAAAATGTATTGGTTTATGTAACACTGAGCAATTCATCACATCTGACAAGAATTATGGACCATGCTCCCACATGGACACAACTGTTTCACAATAAGAAGTCAATCATTCCCACCTAACATTTCAATAGAAACCCTCTAAAAAGTCAGCTTCAGAATAGGTCTATCTGCTTTCCCATCCCAGAATTACTCATCTCTAGTCAAAAAACCTGACTTTTCTAGAGCACAGCTTTGTGTTCTCTTTGGCCTCAGAATCCAGTGACCATGACAGAGAACCAGTAATCTAGTACTATCAGTACTTATCAGTACTAATCTAGTACTGATAAGCTGTTATTTAATACACTACTTATACCTCAAAAGGCTACTTGATCAGAAGGATAGAGATCACAGTGCATTGTGTGTGCTTTATTTTTTGGTGGTTTTTTTTTGTTCTTTGATTTGTGTATGTTTTTTGCTTTGTTTTTCATAAAGCACGTTCCCAAAAATCTCATTTCATTCTGCTAAATGAATGGGAATAAGTAACAGCATCAGGGATGAGTAAGCAGTGCCACTCAGGCATGCTTCAGTGGCTTGCAAGGAATGGAAATGCCCACCTAGAGCAGCTCATCAGCTCAGACTCACCCTCTGCTTGGCTCAGTGTCTGTTCACTGAGGATTCCCACTGTGCTGTGTTCCACCACCTCAGTGAGGATGGCCGTGTCAGTCACTTGGGTAACAACTGTCCAGCTTTCTAAGGAAGATGTCTCAGTTCATCATACTAGAGTGCTCCAGGCGTGTTTGTGACACAGCCACGGTTCACACTGGTTCATTTTACTTCCACATCAGACACACCAATAAATTCTTATAGGTCCATGATTGACTTAAGCAAATTTCCCAACTATACATTTCTTCTTGATGGGGAGCTGTTGGCCAAGAGCTTATGAGTGAGCAGTGCACTCTTTCCAAGATAGATGGAGGTTTCTTTGCTGTCCATGTAGAAATCCAGAGCTGGTGATGCAGACACAACTAGCGGACACTGCACCTGCAGACTTGCAGCAGTTATTAATGTTGCTTAGGAAAAAAGCAAACAGAGATGTCAGACTCTGAGACTCCTTAGAAAATTATGCTGTCAGCAGAAGGCCAGGCAGACCCCTGAGATGGGAGCACATGCCAGGAGGTTCCTCTTGCTGGGAACGCAGAGTTTTCCCCTCGGGGATTAGGGGTTGGCAGCTGCACACCTGCCTCCCTCTGCAGCTTTCCGAGTGCCTCCCCAGATGGGAGTGTTTGCTGGAGATGGCCCATGCTGCTGTGAGCAGCTCCCCAAGCCCTGTGGCTGCTGTCAGGGGAAGGAATAGCAAGTGAAACATGGCATCATTTCACTTCATTGAAAGGAAGAGGATAACACAATGGATAAATGGATAAAACAATGTTTGTAATCCCCATATGTGGATGAACACTGGTGTCTACAAGCATTCTTTGAATACAGGAGACCAGCAGTAAGCACACAGGAATTTCTGAATTCTTCCAAATTGCACTGCAAGAAATTCTCATCATTTCATCCTGGTTTTTACAGTATCATGGTACCTAAAACTGTGATGTAGTGCCCCACTCCAAAGACCTCATTCTTGAAACAGTTTGGCTGTTCTGAACTCTGAATGTTCTCATCTCACTTGATCGTTGAAGGTCTCACGCTGAAAGGCAAAGAGCTTTGCTGAAATTTCCCAAAGCAAGAAAGTACCAGAGTCCTGGAACCACAAGCCTTACCACAGCTCCAGGGAATGCTCACAGTCCACTGTACCCATGTCCTCAGTGGTCAACGGGAGGGAAGGACCCAGGGAAGGGCCTGCCTGCTCAGCATCCCATCAGCCAGCAGCCCTGTGTGGGGCACTGGTTCTTCAGTTAAGGTCCTTCAAGTTGTTCTTTATCTTCCATGTAGAGAGCAGGGAGCGGACACATGAAAACATGATAAGAGGAGGTGATGGAGCTGCAAGGTTTATCCCCTCACAAACCCTTTAGAGCACTGAAA